AAGAGCATTGTTATAATCTGGCCTTAGATTAAGAATAATTTAAGAGCACTATTGAAATAGTATCTGAATTGAATAAAATGTAATGATATGAACTGAACAATACCAAAACTGTGAATGTCTGAAATGAACATTGTGTGCATGATATCAAATGATTTGATTATGAATTTAGATTCAGTTTATATGGATGTTCGATGCATTAGATATGCTTACCCAGCTTTACCACTGAGCGTGTAGTGTGTTTTATTTGCTACACGCAGGTAAGCAGAAAGCACAATGTGTTAAAATAAAGGCCCAACGCTAGAGGGGGGGGGGGTGAATAGCGTTTAAAACAAAATCGCAGGAAATTAAAACGAGAGCGTTAAAGTAAAGAGCGTAAGGAAGGAGCACACCAAATATTATCCTGGTTCACCACAACGTGTGGCTAATCCAGCCCCCCGAGAGACTCTCTCGAGTTACACTAACTCCGTTAAGCTTAAGGGTGCTTAACAAACCGATACAACTTGAGAACCCGAGTCACACGAGCCTCAACACCTTTGCTCGGAGATACCGCACTCCAAGACTTCTCACGAAGGAACAAGTAATTTCCTTCGAGTTTACAGCAAGGGAACAACCTCCCTTAAAGTGTATGAAGACACTTAAACACTCAGGAATAAAACTCTCACAAAGAGTAGATATGAGTGAACTAGTAAACGCTCAAGAACACGACAGTTTCTTCAAGAATTGGCTCTCAAATAGCTAAGAAAAATAGGAATTCTTATGCAATGAAGGAGTATTGAAATGTTGAAGAATTGTGTGTAAAATGAGAGGATTTGGGTGCCATTTTATAGCCCAAAATGGGATAAATCCGTTGCTAGAGTTTCCAACAGGATGAAGACAAATTTTTCAGAGACACAGGGTGATAGTCGATTGTCAAAGCTTGATATTCGATTATCCAAAGATTCCCTGTCCAAAAATTTAAAATTCTATCCGTTGGACGACAACGGTAACCCAGATAATCGATTGTCAACAAGTGATAATCGATTATTTGTCCTCTCAGAAGATTCTGGGTTTTGGCTGCAAAGACTGATAATCATTTATCGCAAAGCTGATAATCGATTATTGCGTGCTTCAGAACTTTGGAAGTTCAAAGCTGCAGGGGCTGATAGTCGATTGTCACTAAGGTGATAATCGATTATCACCCAGCTAAAGTCTAGCCAGCTGAAACCCGTTTTGAAAAACCGAGGTCCAAAAACAAAGTGTTCCCAAAAGTAAAAACCAGGTTTGGAAAATATTGTATATGATATTAAATAGTGAAAACAAGACTTGTTTGGTAAAAACCAAGTCTTCAAGGTCGTATAATACGTGCGTACGGTTTAGACCGTTTTTCACGTGTTAGACCGATTGACCAAGATACAAAAGTGGTTTTTATAAAATAATTATTTGGGAACATTTTAAAAATGCTCAGAGGTAAAAAAAGGGTTTAAAATATTGAAAACCACGGAGTTGGTTCAGGCGCCAAAACCGAACGCCGAAAGCCGAACGTCGAAAGCTGAACGCCGACTTAGGTGGTTTTGGTTCTGAGCAAGGACCAGGGATTTTAACAATAAAAGAAATCATCAAAAAAATGTTTGTTTTGATGCACAAAAAATATTTTATGATTTGTAAAAATTGTTTTGACTTTTTGAGAACCGAGACTTGAATTTATTGTCGGTTTTGATCACAAAAGACCGACTCGACTAAGTCTTCAATTCCTGATCTTGCCCTTGAGTCTTTTAGGTCTTGTTCCAAGCCATTCTTCACGCCTTGAGTTATTCAACGAAACTCTTTATAACCACGGCGGTTTGGCAATTATCAAAACCTGTCAGAAATGAACACGACTTTAGTTTATCGTACAAAGTGTGTTCCAACAATTTCTCCCTTTTTGATAATGGCAAACAAGACGGGGATATGCATAGGGTTTTGATCTTTTTGAAAAAAAATTCCCCCTTAAAAAAAATTCCCCCTTAATATATGCATAGCCCTTATCTTCCCCCTTTTGACATTAACAAAAAGATTGTTAACAACAAAAATCATAAAGATTTTTATTAATTAATTAAGGGAAATAACAGAGTACATAAGGAAAGCATTTTAAAAGATGATAAAATAAGGAAGAGAAGAAAGTAGAGTTAAAGCTCTAGAAATCCGGGGAAAGATCATTGAGAAGTTGTTCTTCGTCAATGTCTTCTTCTTCTTCTTCATCTTCATCACCATCGCCATCATCATCATCATCGGCTTCTTCTTCCTCTTCTTTTTCTTCTTCTTCTTCTTCATCGTCCACCTCGTCATCTCTACCAACATTTTGATTCCCACTTTGTTCACCTCCGAAATTCGGTGGAGGAACGTAAGGGACCATTTGAGCGTACGAGTAATTGACAAAGTCAAAATACCCGTGAAGTTCACGGCTCAAGGTATTGACGTTGTGTGCCGTTTTGGAGACGTTGGTGTCAATCCGAGAGAGAGTGGCGGTTAAGGCTGCCATTTGCTCGGCGAGAGAAGGATTGGTCGAAGTGGTGGCGGTTGAGGCAGTGGCTCTCGGTTGGCAGCGTGGACGAGGCTGTCGAAACGGAGTCTCGTCGGTGCCCGAGTGGAAAGAGGATTCATCAATCTCCCAATGCTTTGTCCCCTTTATCTTTGGCCCAACATCGGTTTTGATGTTATACTCTTCAAGAATCGCCATGACAAGGAGGGCGTAGGGGGGCGGCCGATTGTCGGAGGTGGCCGTGAACATGTGAGTCATCACAAATTTACACTAATTGAGATTGGCGTTGTGAATCATCACATGAATTGTCTTCGTGTCCTCCTGGGAGAGAGTGGTGGGATTGAACTTCCTGGGCTTGAGAATCCGTGTCAAAACATAAAAGATGAATCGAAACACGGGGCTCATGGAAGCAATCGTAGGGCGCCGCTGTTGGGGAGTGGGGACGAAGTGTCGGATGCCCACTTCCTCCAAGAGAGCGGTCTCATTGAACCGCGCTCCTTCTTCTCCGACGTAGAGCCCGAGATCCTGTCTGTCCCGACGAAGCCCTGTGAGAATTTGAATGTTTTCCTCATTCAAATATATGTCCACCCCGTTGACGTTAGAGATCAACGTTCCGTCCTCATCCTTTTTCAAGTTCGAGTAGAAAGCTCGAACTAGAAAGGGGTGATAATTGACCTTCTTGATGTAGAGGAGATCGAGGAAGTTTCCACGTTTTAGGATAACCCGTGCCTCACGTGGAATGGAGTCATGAATGAAGCGGGCGGTGGAGAATCGGGGAGGGAGAATTTCCCGGTGTTCAAACTTCTCTGAGAACCGTGTCGCCTCTGCGCGGTCGTTGAACCAAAGGAACGACTTATCGAGGTACTTGTGCACCGGTGGTGGAGGAGGAGCCGAGGAGGAAGCAACGTTCTTGCTGGTTCGGGAACATTTTCTTTGACCGCCTGCCATTGCAACAAGAGAGGAGAGAGAGATTGCAGAAATTTTGAAAAAAAATGAAGAATAGGAGCAAGAATGATGAATTATGATGAATATATGGAGAAGAGATGATTGGAATGAGTAAAAATGGAGTAGGTATCACCAGTTTATAGTGGAGGAGGTGTAGAGATCCGTTGGGATGGTCAAACAAGGTTTAAATGCTCCTCCAACGTCTCTGCAACGGTCAGATTTTTGAAAAATCGCCGTTGATAATCGATTTACCCAACGTGTAAATCGATTATCTGAGTCTTCAGATTCTCCGCCAAAGAAACTGCAGGCTTCAATAATCGATTTCTGCCTGGTTGTAAATCGATTGTTGTAGTTTGCGCCTGAGTTGCCTTTAACTTCTGCAGGCTTAAATAATCGATTATCTTATAGTTAATAATCGATTGTTGCTGGTTTGCGCCTGACTTTTGAGAAAGTTCTGCAGCCCCTGATAATCGATTATCTTAATGCTGATAATCGATTGTTGGCTCCTTCAGTTTCTTTGCTCCAACTCCTGTGGGTTGTGATAGTCGATTATCACAAGCCTGTAAATCGATTGTTCACATTCCACCTGACTTCAACGCCTACAATGAAAACATTTTGGTACCCGTTTGGTCTTTTGGGTCCTTGAGGATTAGTAACACGACTTTTTAAACTGATAAACACACGCACCCATAATCACGCAAACACACACACACACACACATATGTACCAACACGCGTGTTTAAGTGTTACCTTGGTCAACTTGTCGTTTTGCGGTTGGCGGGTTCCAGTCTACTCGAACCGAATGTCTATACCTCGGTTTGATTTGTGTGGGTTCCGGAAGTGGTATGTGAATCTTCTTCTTTTCATCATAATAGAAGAAGTAATATGGTTTCTTTTGCGTTGATTCCTGCAGGGATTGGTTAGAGTTCGAATATCCTTTTTCAAAGGATTTCATTCGGTTAGTTCCATGCAAAGTGTGTGTTTTGTTATACNATGTTTAGTAAGTTGCAAATTATCAAGAACATCATTAAGGTTTTTATGAGAAACACCAAACTTCTTCAAAGTTCCTTCAAGTTTTGCAACTTGATCCTTAAGTGATATACAAGAACTACATTTTGAACTTTCCGGTTTGTCGGCGCTTCTTTTTCCGAAAAACTTATTTTCTTCTTTAAGTTTTTCATTATCTTTTGATAGTTTATCAACTTCCTTCTCCATGGAAGTAATTTGTTTCTTCAAATCCTTGTTAATTTTAGAAGCGTCGACATATTCATCAAAAAGTTCATTAAAGGCTTCTTGTACATCATCAAAAGTATAGGATTCGTTTGAAGTGGTACATACCTCTTCCGGTGGTTCCTCGTGTGCCATGAGGCAAAGATTGGCACTTTCGTTTTCTTCGCCTTCCGATGATTCGTCGCCGGAATCACCTCTCCATGAGATGTAGGCTCGGTGCTTCTTGAACATTTTATTCTTGTTCTTGGCGTTTGGACATTTTGGTTTTATATGCCCAACTTCTCCACACCCATAGCATTTGGGTGGACTTCCTTGCTTCTTTCCCATCCGTTCATACTCTTAGCTCATGAACTTATGGAATTTCTTGAGCACGATCCCGAACTCGTCTTTGTCACTCGAGTCCTCCACATCACGTTCTTGACTTGTGGACACCTTGAGTGCAATCCCATTCTTCTTTTGTTCACCTAATGAGGGGTAAAGAATGGTAGACTCATAGGTTTTGAGGTTACCTCTAAGCCCGTTAATGGTGACACTGGAGATGCCGATAGATTCTTGGATAGCATCGGCTTTGGAGCGCCATTCCGGTGTGAGACTCCGCAGGATTTTTCTTACAAGCTCCTTGTCCGTGTACGTCTTCTTGAGAGCATGGAGATCATTAACGATTTTGGAGAATCGTTCAAACATCTCATCGATTTTCTCATTCTCCTTCATACGAAACAATTCATATTCATGGGTTAGAAAATCTATCATAGCTTCTCGGACTTGATTCGTACCTTCATATGTGATTTCTAGCTTGTCCCACATTTCCTTGGCGGTGGAACAACAAGAGATCTTCCGGTAGTCATCCGGGTTTACTGCACAATAAAGAATGTTGATAGCCTTGGCGTTGTTCTCTATTTTCTTGATATCCTGCGCATCGTATTCTTCTTCGGTTTTGGGAACGGTGGTTTCCCCAACTTTCTTCATGGGCACTTCTTCCCCATTCTTGATAATTCTCCATAGGAGAAAGTTGTTGGATTGGATGAAAATTCTCATTCGCTCCTTCCAATATGTGTAATTCGTTCCATCAAATAATGGAGGCCTCGTGCTGGATTGCCCTTCTCCTAAACCTGCGTATAAGTTTTGAGTAGAAGCCATTGATCGTTTCTCTCAAACGGTTAAGTCTTTCAGAGAGTAAGGCTCCGATACAAATTTTTAGAATAAAGGCCCAACGCTAGAAGGGGGGGGTGAATAGCGTTTAAAACAAAATCGCAGGAAATTAAAACGAGAGCGTTAAAGTAAAGAGCGTAAGGAAGGAGCACACCAAATATTATCCTGGTTCACCACAACGTGTGGCTAATCCAGCCCCCCGAGAGACTCTCTCGAGCTACCCTAAATCCGTTAAGCTTAAGGGTGCTTAACAAACCGATACAACTTGAGAACCCGAGTCACACGAGCCTCAACACCTTTGCTCGAAGATACCGCACTCCAAGACTTCTCACGAAGGAACAAGTAATTTCCTTCGAGTTTACAGCAAGGGAACAACCTCCCTTAAAGTGTATGAAGACACTTAAACACTCAGGAATAAAACTCTCACAAAGAGTAGATATGAGTGAACTAGTAAACGCTCAAGAACACGACAGTTTCTTCAAGAATTGGCTCTCAAATAGCTAAGAAAAATAGGAATGCTTATGCAATGAAGGAGTATTGAAATGTTGAAGAATTGTGTGTAAAATGAGAGGATTTGGGTGCCATTTTATAGCCCAAAATGGGATAAATCCGTTGCTAGAGTTTCCAACAGGATGAAGACAAATTTTTCAGAGACACAGGGTGATAGTCGATTGTCAAAGCTTGATATTCGATTATCCAAAGATTCCCTGTCCAAAAATTTAAAATTCTATCCGTTGGACGACAACGGTAACCCAGATAATCGATTGTCAACAAGTGATAATCGATTATTTGTCCTCTCAGAAGATTCTGGGTTTTGGCTGCAAAGACTGATAATCAATTATCGCAAAGCTGATAATCGATTATTGCGTGCTTCAGAACTTTGGAAGTTCAAAGCTGCTGGGGCTGATAGTCGATTGTCACTAAGGTGATAATCGATTATCACCCAGCTAAAGTCTAGCCAGCTGAAACCCGTTTTGAAAAACCGAGGTCCAAAAACAAAGTGTTCCCAAAAGTAAAAACCAGGTTTGGAAAATATTGTATATGATATTAAATAGTGAAAACAAGACTTGTTTGGTAAAAACCAAGTCTCCAAGGTCGTATAATACGTGCGTACGGTTTAGACCGTTTTTCACGTGTTAAACCGATTGACCAAGATACAAAAGTGGTTTTTATAAAATAATTATTTGGGAACATTTTAAAAATGCTTAGAGGTAAAAACAGGGTTTAAAATATTGAAAACCACGGAGTTGGTTCGGGCGCCAAAAACCGAACGCCGAAAGCCGAACACCAACTTAGGTGGTTTTGGTTCTGAGCAAGGACTAGGGATTTTAACAATAAAAGAAATCATCAAAGATGTTTGTTTTTATGCACAAAAAATATTTTATGGTTTGTAAAAAATTGTTTTGCCTTTTTGAGAACCGAGACTTGAACATATTGTCGGTTTTGATCACAAAAGACCGACTCGACTAAGTCTTCAATTCCTGATCTTGTCCTTGAGTCTTTTAGGTCTTGTTCCAATCCATTCTTCACGCCTTGAGTTATTCAACGAAACTCTTTATATCCACGGCGGTTTGGCAATTATCAAAACCTGTCAGAAATGAACACGACTTTAGTTTATCGTACAAAGCGTGTTCCAACACTTATTGTCATGGAACAAGTTGTGAATTGCTTTCCAAAGATCAGCGACAGAGGTGGTGGAGGAGATGATGAGATCCGAAACTTCGTCATTAACGGTGGATAGGATCCAGCCTTGAATAAGTGCGTCAAGTTGCAACCAGTCAACAACATCTTTGTCGGTGGAGGTTGTTGCACTAGTGAGAAAACCTTCAAGATTGAAGCACCGAACCAAGCTAAGAGAAGAAAGAGACGACTCCACTTTTTATAGTTTGGTTCCGAGAAACTGAGATTGATAGGGACCTGGAGTTTAACGTTTGAGACTGTGGTGAAGGCAAGATGAGGAGTAGAGGAAGAGGTTGATTTTTTGGATGACATGATGAGAGGAGGGTTGTGTGGGCTGCTGCTGGTGTAATGTTCGGCTGGGGTGGGGTGGCTGCCGATTTCAGAGGAGGCTGGTCGGTGAGGGGGTTGCTGCCGTGAGGAAGAGAGAGAGAGGGAGGATAGCGCTGCGTTAGGGTGAGACAGATCCGGCGGCACCGAGAGAGGGAGAAAACGTATCGGGGCTAGCCTAGGGTTGGCTCCGATACCATGAAGAATTATATTATTCGATAGTGATTACAAGTAAATCACCTCCCCTTATATACATATAGGAGGTATATTGGAAAGGAAACAATATTAAATGCAAATCCTATACAACCAAGGAATCTACCAAGTATAACAATAATATTAAATATGTGATATATACTTTACATATTTAACACTAAAAGGTAACTAAATAAACAAAGATACTAATAACTTAATATGATACTCAGTCCATCCTAAAATATTCTTCCCAGTTACTATTCACATGGTCAAACTTTAATCATTTTATATACCTATTTTCATTAATTATTTGATAAAATAACATAGTCTTGTCACCTCTTATTTTGTAGAACTTTTGATATAGTTTTAGATATATAAATTATACTTTTTTAATTTTACACCTACAATCAAATAAATTGAATTGAAAATAAAGTTGGTCAAACCTCGTAAATAGAAACGGGAAGAATGTTTTAGGGTGGAGGGAGTAATAATATTTCCTAAAAAATAATTATTAACTAATCATTAATAATAATAATAACCTTACCAATAATAATAGTAAAAACTAGCAATAATATTTAAATATCCTACTTCACTATCCATAAAAGACATTGTGTATTAAATAAATATGTCATCTCATCTAATTAGAACTACTAATTACGTTTAAGAATTGTTTCCAAAATAATTTTTTTTGTAATGATGACTTAATAAAAAATTTAGTAACGACGTCAGCAGCCATCGGCGCACGTCAGACTTCTCTCTTCTCAATGTTTCCAGTTTCTAGCTGGTGTCCAAGCTTTCTCTTGCTTCAGTCAGAGTTCAGCTTGAGGGAGGATGCTAGACAATAATAATAATAACAATTATGGTAGTATTAGTTATAGTACTCTTTGTATTTTAGTCAGCTTTCTATTCCTATTTATGGTAGGTGTAGTATTTTAGTCAGTTTCCATTCTTTATTTCTAAGTGTGGTAGGAGGATGGTTTCTAGCCAAGTACAAAGTAAAATTTAAAAAAAAATTACATGTATTACATGTGAAATAGGGGTGGGTGGGAGGATGGTTGCTAGCCAAATTGGTGTCAGCTAAGTACGAAATAATATAATTAAAAAAAATGTTCGCATGTATTACATGCGAAAGTCTGACTGAGGAAATTACTTCCCAAAAAGGTTTGCCTAAGGGAATTGCTCCGAAGGTTGCTAGCCAAGTACAAAATAAAATTAAAAAAATTGCATGTATTACATAAATAGGGGTGGGTGGAAGGATGGTTGCGAGCTAAATTGGTGTAAGCTAAGTACAAAATATAATTTTAAAAAAATTCACATGTATTACATGTGAAAGTTTGATTGAGGAAATTACTTTCCAAAAAGGCCTGACTGAGGGAATTGCTCCAGTAAAGCTGACCCAGACTTTGGGATGAAGGGAGTAAGTTTAAAATGGACACAACAATTTATAAAAAAATCTGAGTTTGGCGAACACGGTTTCACTGAAAAGTTGATAGTGTGTTCATCAAACACAATTTATATTTTTTTATAGTAACACGATTTATACTAACAAGCAATTATTTTATAAAATTTTCATTGTTCGGTAATTGCTCCATTTTAGTAACCACTAACCACAGAAAGGGAATGTATTATTGATGGCATCTACTATAACAATATCCATATAAGTTTGACTGTTTGAGAAAAAGGATGAGTCCCAGCCCTAAGCTCTATAACACCCTAATCCGTCCAATTCTGCAACCCCTTTCGGACTAGAATAAACTTGGTATTCGTAAACATTCAAAAGAATTTCAAACATTTTCAAAAATTATTTGATAATAAAATTATTCAGAATAATAACATAGTATTTAAAGTTGTAGAAGCATAATAAATCACAATTAAAAAACATAATAAATTTATGACTTTTAGAACAGTAATTCAAATTTACACATTCATCCCGACCATCTCGCCCCATCTGCCACCAGGAATTCATCACTTCATTCTTTTTGTTTACCTGCGTGTAGCAAATAAAACATACTACACGCTTAGTGGTAAAGCTGAGTAAGGATATCTAATGGATCGAACATCCATATAAATTGAATCTCAATTCATAATCAAATCATTTGATAACATGCACAGGATATTCAATTTTAGCTTTCACCATTCATGATATTCACAATATTTTAATTCAAGTCATTTCATGATATATATATATATATATATATATATATATATATATATATATATATATATATATATTAAAAAAAAAGATTTTATTAAAGGAAAAGGAGAAAGAGGATACAAGTGGCCCCGAAGGGTAATACAAGAGGAAAGCAACCAGCTTATACAAAGGATTTAGATAAGATTCTACGACCATTTCGCCAAAAGGAATCTAATCCCATGCCTTTGAAGTCTTCATCATGAGCCATCCATTTTTTGTTCATGTTTATCCATGCCCAAGCTTGGAGAGTTTTGACGCATGTTTTAATAATGCCCTCCACTGTTGGTTTAGCTGCGTTATGAATATAAGAGTTACGTGCCTTCCACATGGAACAAGTGCAGAGGCCTGGGGAGAAGAGACGTAGGTTACCTCTGAAGTGTTTGGTGTTGCTACCAAACTACCATGCAAGAAGATGTTGACGTAATGTGGTGTTCTCCTTAACCCTTGGGCCATTGGAAATGGAAGCCATGAAGTTCCATACCTCTTTTGCAGTTGGACAGTGGAGCATGGAGTGATCAATGTCATCGTTATCTTTATGGCAAAGAGGACAGAAACTGGGAAGGGCTGCCATGAAACGGCATAGGTTTTTAGGGAAAGGAAGGGCACTGTTTAGGAGTCTCCACAAGAAGATCTTGATTTTTGGGATGTTTGAGCTGTGCCAAATGTATTTACAGGATAATATGTTTGTCCCACTTCCCTGGACCATGTTGAAAGCACTCTTGAGGCTGAAGTTTCCTCCTTCCCAAAGCAAGCCTGAACTAGTAGTGGTGGTATGGGATGTTGCCAGATCATTAGATCTGCAAATCCTTTTCCATGTTGGAGAGTCAGTGATCCTTTCCTTCATGATTCCTGTTTTCATATACCTGGCTCTCACATAGGGCCCCCATATCCCAATGTCATTTCTTGCCTTCCACCAAAGTTTAAGGGTGTATGCTTGTTGTAGGTCCTTTAAGCTTTTGATCCCCAGCCCTCCCTCTACATCAGGTTTTGTTATTTGTGCCCATCTAACCCAGTGGTATTTATGGGATCCTTCCTTTTGTCCCCACAAAAAGTTGGCCATGTATCTGTTGAGGGTGTGGATGATTGATTTGGGAATGGTGTGGACAGCAAGGGTATGTAATGGGATTGAAGATAAAACATGTTTTATTAGTATAAGTCTACCCATCTGGTTGAGAGTCTTGCTGTACCAAGAGTGAATAAGTTTTTCAAAATGTCCCAAGATATCTTTGCAGTGCTCTTTTCTCAGAATCCCTTTACAGATAGGAGCTCCCAGATAGGTAAAAGATAGGTTCCCTCTTTTGATTCCTAGAGCCTTCTCCATGTGTTGATTTTGGGAGCTGGTTATGTGCTTTGATGTGTAGAATCTGCTCTTGTTAAGGTTGATCTCTTGCCCAGTAGCCTTGAGGTATATATCTAGAGTGACCTTGAGTTTGAGCAGATTTCTATTGTCTCCCCCGGAAAAGATTATAATGTCATCAGTATAAATAAGGTGGGAGGGAAATAGGACCTGGCCTGAGTTGAATCTGAGCAGGTGGTTAGTGTCCATCTGCATATTGATGATTCTACTAAAACCTTCTGCTGCTAGGATGAAAAGAAGGGGTGAGAGTGGATCTCCTTGTGTAGGATCATTTTTCTGGAACTTCCCAGTGGGTCACCCATCCTAGGACTACTCCCGTTCCAGCACGCTTAACTACAGAGTTCTGAAGTTAAAGAGGTGCCAAATGCTTCCTAAAACCAATTGGTGATAGGGAGGAGGACACTTTGTATTTAACCACATCTCTCTGTAGCCTCAAGCCGAGGTAGATTCCTATAGGGCACCCCCTATAGTTCACTACGGCAGTGCGGAGCCCCACTACTGAGCGGTGGATGGACAGGAGGGGCTTCGCAAGATACACGACTCATGTACCTCGTCAGGTTGGGCTGTCAATACCCGATACCGTGACAAGCACAGTAGCGAATCCCTAAGGGTGATCGATGGTCCCTCATAAGACCAACACCTTGTTTTACCCCCCTCTCCATTTTGAAAAATCCTGATGGCTCTCCATTGATGAGTATACTGAAGAAGGTCCCTTTTAAGTTGGCCATTAAGAGGGAAGTTGATAGACTGTTGAATCCGAATCTCAAAAGTAGGGCCTCTAAGTATTCCCGGTCAAGTTTATCAAAAGCTTTTGCCATGTCCAATTTGATGATTAGATTACCTCCATACACTTTTTTTATCCAAAAGATGAACTGCCTCCTGTGCCATGAGGATGTGATCATCAATTGATTTTCCCTTTTGAAATGCTGCTTGCTCCTTGGAGATCAGTTTGGGTAGGAGGGTGTTTAGCCTCTTGGCCAGGATTTTTGTATTAATCTTGCTCATGAATGTGGACAGGGAGATTGGTCTATAATCCTCAAATCTCTTTGGGTTTTCTGTTTTAGGAATGAGGGTTAGAAAGGTGCTTCCATAAGCTTTTGGAATATGTTGCCCCATGAAGAAATCTTGAGAAGCTATCAAAACATCCTGCTTAATTGTCTCCCAGGCAGATTTGAAAACGTTTCCATTGAAACCATCAGGCCCTCCAGCGCTGCTCCCATCCAAATCTCAGACTGCCTTTTGGACCTCTTCCATGGAAGGGGTGGCACATAAAAAGGTGTTGTCTTCTACTGTAATAATCTGTGGGATAAGAGAGATAATTGGATCATAAGAGGGGGAGTGAGATTTCCTGAAAGTATTTTCAAAGTAGGATATGGCTTCAGCTTTGATTTCTGTGAGATTTTTTGTGCCTGTGCCATTGGAGTCTCCCTTTTCTAACCACCTGATTTTGCCTTCTGTTTCCAGTATTGTACCTCCAACTTGGTTGCAAGGATGAGCTCAGCATTGGCTTTTTGCATTCTTTCCCTATTCTCTTGGGTTGGATTAGCCTCGTATTCAGTTTCTGTTTGAGAAGAAAGTTCCTCTGCAGATTGAAGTTTGGAGAAAATGTTTCCAAAAACTTCCTGATTCCAAATTTTAAGTGCTGCTTTAAGGCTAATGAGTTTATTTGCCAGACCTCTCATACCTCCTGTAGTTGGCAGATTTTCCCAAGTGTGTTTTACCATGGAATGAAAAGAGTCATGNAGCCTCGTATTCAGTTTCTGTTTGAGAAGAAAGTTCCTCTGCAGATTGAAGTTTGGAGAAAATGTTTCCAAAAACTTCCTGATTCCAAATTTTAAGTGCTGCTTTAAGGCTAATGAGTTTATTTGCCAGACCTCTCATACCTCCTGTAGTTGGCAGATTTTCCCAAGTGTGTTTTACCATGGAATGAAAAGAGTCATGTAGTGTCCAGGCATTCAGGAATCTAAAAGGTTTGGGACCTGAAGGTAAAACTTTAATGCAATGTACAAGGAGAGGTTTATGGTCAGAGGTGGATTTGGACAAATGCTTGAGGGAGACTTCATCATAAAAGGCAAGGAGTGGAATGTTAGCCAGAACTCTGTCCAGTCTTCTCCAAGTTCTGCCTTGGCTTCTAACACCAGACCAAGTGTATAAACCACCTATAGGGTCAATGGAGACTAGTTTGCATTGAGAGATGCATTCTGAGAAATCCTCCATACCTTGAGAGTTAGGGGTGCATTTACCTTTGAACTCAGAGAGAGAGGCTATTGTGTTAAAATCCCCCCCTATAATCCATTGGTGAGTGATATTGCTTTTGTCTTGGAGGTTATCCCAAAGCTCTCTTCTTTCAAGGACTGTATGGGCTGCATAGACAGATGAGATGAGAAGAGGGGTCTGGCTTTCTGTTTGGTGGAAGAAACTGTGGGAAACTTGGCTGTGATCTTGGAAGGAAGTGAGTGAGAGGTGGCTGTCATCCCAAAAAATCCATCTCTTATTATTTGTGGAGCTGATGGCATTTGAGAAACCAAAATGGAGCCTGAAGGTATCTAACTGACTAGCATTATTTATGGGTTCAATGATTCAAAGAAAATGAAGGTTGTGCTTCCTCTTTAGGAAAATGAGCCTGCTGAGGGAGGAGCTTACCCCACAGGCATTTCAAAATAGAAGCTTCATGAAGGAAGGTTGGGAGGTACATCCTTTCTAGTTTTGCTCCTTGTGGCATAGCCAGTAAAATGTTCAGGCCTTTGTAAAGGCATTGAGACTTTAGAGCAAAGCGAGATGTCCACCTGAAGAGGAGTGATGGGGGTTTCCTGTGCAATAACAGGACCTCCATCAGAGTGGTAACCAACATGTGAAATGATTTCATCCTCTTCATCCTCAGGTTCCCAGGAGATGGGGGAGATATGCAGGTCATCTTTACTTCGTGATAATGGGGGCTGGCACTGTGTTGGCTTGAAGGGAATTATTTCCTTGCACTAGTTGTGAACAGAGGTGTAAAGAAAGGAGATATCTGGAGGGAAGGTGGAAGGGGATGAGTGGGGTCCAAGGGTTTTAGTGGAGGTAAAAGGGTAATTTTTGGGGCTGGAAAAAGAGGAGGGCTCCTGAAGAGGGGAATCTGAGGCTGGGGTGTCTGCCACCGGGGGTAGGGGTTGGGAGCAAACATCCAAGGAGGTAGTGGGTTGTTCAGTGCCAGAAGATGATTTAGATTGAGGTATTTGTGGAGGATTGAAAAGGACTGGGTTTTGGAGATGCTTACCAGGGGTGGGGGCCTTACGCCTCAAATCATGACTGGGTTTTGGAACCTTCCTCATGACCATTTTCCATTCTTGCTTTGAACCTCCCGCTCTTGAGGGCCCCAACAATTCTGCCTGAGATGAGAGTTTCTGGCAATGGGAAAGCTGGTGACCAAACCTTAGGCATTTTGAACAGAAAGGGGGATGATCTTCATATGAGCAAGGTAGCCATAGGTCTCTTGTGCCAAGTCTAAGATGAATCTTAGGAGGTTTGGAAATGGAGACATCCATTTCTACACAGACTTTAGCACTGCCCGGATAGATTCCCATGGCTGTTTTCCTGCCCAGTTTCAGTGGCTTTCCCAGTGCTGAAGCTATTGAGTATAAAGGAATTTGATCACTAAGATGTAAAGGAATGTTTTTGATTTCTACCCATACCGGAATAACTGGACAGTCTTTGAAGGGTGAGTAATCAACAGACCATTTGCAAAGGGTGATTGTTGAGGATTTTATGTTCCATTTGCGCCGGTGAAACCATCTTAGGTAATCTTCCTCCCTTTTGAAAATGAAGAGAATCTCTTGTGATTTCAGTCTTCTAAGTTTGAACTCCTTAAATCCCCCCTTAATGAGGAACTCTTCAACGTCTTGCATGTGGATAACCTTGCTGCACTTTCCAATGACTACATGACTGAAGTTGTCGGCCAGGCGTGACTCTTCTTCTGCCGTGAACTAGACTGAGGGGGGGCTGCTCGATACAGACCACAGAGCTTATATATCATGGCAGTTTCTCTCTCTACTTTTCCGGCGACTGGCCAACCACCGGCGGGCATATCCTCACACCACTCCCTAGGCGGCAAAACCCTCTTCTCCGACCTCTTCAAGGGTGAGAATGAAAGTATATATATATATATATATATATATATATATATATATATATATATATATATATATATATATTAATAAAAAATTTTATTAAAAAAAGGAAAAAGTACAAAAAAAAGAGGGGGTGGCCCGACCCCAACAAAGGGCCAAAAGAAAAGAAAAGGGAAAGATACAAAAGAAACAGCCTTACGCAGAGTCTAAAACCAAAAAGACAACCAAGCATATAGTCTAAACACAATCCTACAGGGAGAGGTCCCAATGAAAATAATACTGCCTCGTAACCCATGTGTACTGTCTTCCCTACATTGATGATTCCATGATTGAGAATATAGCTTGCGGAAAATACATTGAAGCGTAAAGAGTCTGCCAGCTCCAAGCTTTATGTAAGTGCAGAGAACAGCATAGTAGGCCCAAAACATGACTCCAATTTTAGGGCACTGAAGAAAGTCTAGCCAATTTGGTTACTGCCAGAGTATAGACCATTTGTAAAGTGTTGTTCCCAGAGACACTAGTGCCCTTGTTGAATGTAATCCTTGCTAATTATAACTCAAAAAAACATCTATGTCCCCGACAAAGCATCCAACAAAAGATAAAGAAAACCGAGTCCTCCCTATCATTCGTAGTCGATTAGGTGTTCACACAATGGCGTGATGATAGGTACGTCAACGTTTGCACAGCATAGGAGAACTGGATGATGTGTACCTTTCAGTTTAATAGCCCTGATGCACTGTGCACTCTTCATAGCCTCCCTTTTCGCTTTTATTGCCTTCCCCCGAAGTGTTGACACTAGCCCCTGTTGGATCTTATCCTTGACAAAAGGCGAGCGTAACGCTTCCTTGATCATCCAAAGAGAATTCTCAAAGTCATCGCTAATGTGTTGTTCGAAAATCGGCTTTAGCATCTCATACTGTTTTTGAAGGTCTCCTCCTGCCTGATCTTCTACTTTATCATCAATTATCATGAGGTCCAGCTCTGATTGCATAGGGTCCCCCAAACTTGATGCTTGCACCTCCAAATTTTGGTTAAACAGCCCGTCAATTAAACATTGCTCTTCCCGGCTCAGTGGCTCCAGTGAAGAGTTCCTTTTAGCTTGTTCTACTCTTGGGAATTCTTCCAGCTGCAGAGGATTAACAATACCTAGGTCCTCTACTTCTCTTCCTAACTTATCATTCCCTGAAGCTGTAACAACATTTCCTTCTGTTCTAGAACCAATGAACTCTTCAATGGCATAAAAAAATAGACCATACCCCCTCTATCCGCAGGAACAAAGAGGGAGGTGTTCCCCTCTCTTCTCGATTCAAGTATCCGAATATAATTACCCCAGCTATTAAATCCAAAAGAAATGGTGATTTTTCGATGCTTTTCAAATCGGGTGATAGCCCAGGATTTTCTCTGAATTAGTTTGGGGAATAGCTCAAGAATCCAAATTAATCCATCGATGTCAAACCATATATCGTAATTCCTCTTTCCAATTTCACTAATACAGAAGTTCTTGTTAAAATTAGAGTGAAAGAGATTAAAAACCTTGGTTTGAATTCGGAAGGAGTGAGATTGATTAGGACTTTCGCGTTGAATCCGTGGGATGTGGATATCGTATCCTCGTCGGTTCCTTGAATTATGCCAGTAATCTGGATAGCTTCGATGATCCCTCCTTCTTTCCCAAACCTAAAGATTCTCAGATCCATCTCTTCGGTCAGTATATCGTCGTCGATTGCTTCTAGGGGTGAACGGTCGCCAGGGATCGTACTTACGGCGGAAGTAGCCTCTTAGAGATTCCCTATCTAAACCCATCCTATATATATATATATATATATATATATATATATATATATATATATATATATATATATATATATATATATAATATATATATATATATATATATATGTGCAAGTGGATCCTGACTTCTTTATATGCAAGTGGTTAATTTTACTCGACACTCTCCCCGTTGTTCTAAGCCCGCCAGAATTTTAACAGAACTTTAATGTTCTCGTGGAAAGGCGGAGGAGTTAGGTGTCAAGATTTGTTTTGATGGCTTGTGTGTGGTGAAGGGTGTTGGGGTAAGTGGGGGTTTGGCATTATTTGGAGAAATAACAATACGGCTAATCTTATTAGCTACTTTAAATTTCATGTTGACATCCGAGTTACGATTGGGGATAATGCACTATGGTGGCTGACAGGTTTCTATGGGAATCCCATGTGTTCTCTTCGATCTAGCTGGGCGCTTTATAAAAGTGCCCTAAAAAGGTTTCTCTTATAAAAATGTCCAAAAAAGATTTGATATTATGAGACTACCCTCTATCTACCCTCACTTAAAATCATGAAAAATACCATGTGAGATTCCCAAATTACCCCTACACTTCGAAGAGCTATTGTCAAAAGAATCTGATTACGTTCCACAACTGTTTAATGATTTTCTGTCCTTGTTTGACCCGACTCGAATTTAACCAATTCAATTGCCCCTTTCAGTTCCTCAATCGCATGCACACTACACATCGATCTGCAAATCGGCAACGTAATTGACAATAGAGTAAAAAGATAAGATTGAAGAACGCGTTTAGAAGCTATTACGTAGCGTAGAAGGAGGAAAAAGAGCAGAATGAGTTTACGGTAAACCCTAATTTTCGACACCCCCAATTTTCATTACAAACCCTAATTTTTCTTTACATTAAAGAATTACGGAGGAGTATGTTTTCACGAAAAAATCTAATTGAGCCAATTAAGTTATGATTCTACATATCTTATGGTAAACCCTAAGATATAAATAAACCCTATTCTGAAATAAACCTTATTCGAACATAGTCTGCGAAAAAATTTCGATATCCTTTCAAAATTTTAGGGAATATTTTTAAAGTCCTTATATTTGGTTTCATGAGTAATAATTCTTCATAGAAAAATATGTTTGAAGGTCATTCAACTTAAATTCAATTGCTTTCGAATATTTATTGATGATCCCATCCATCCTTTCGGATATGATTATGATGTTTTTGAATATTCGATGTTATTTTGACTAATTAGGGTTTATTTCAAACCTACTCCCCGAAGTCATTTTGTTATCCATTCAAAATTTTAGGCAGTAAATTTTAAATTCCAAATTTAAAATTTACTGTTTGTTTCATCTTATTTCATCTTATAAGCCTGAATGTGCTCAAGAAATTTTGGAACCTATTGTAACTAAAGTCCCTACTGATGTTGGAAATATTGCCTCCTCTTCTAAGGCCCCTGCTGTTAAATAACTTCCTCCCACTGTCAAGAGCCAAGTTCCCTCATAGTTTAAGTCTACTACTCAATTGGATGGTAAGACTAATGTTGTGTTACCTAAGCTCTTATGCTCAAACTGTTGCACCTCACTCTGCTCCTGTTCCCTCTTTGGGTAATATGACTGCAAAACTCGAGACAGAAATGTGATAATGCATAGAGACACTCCTGCCATCAGGTTTGCAGAGGAAGAGATTGAGAACCTATCTAGAATTGATAGGTTTACACTTGTGGGAAAATTTTCTCATGGACAACCTAAACTGGAAGTTATCAGGAAGCACTTTGCAACTCATTATGTCTTAAAGGGTCAAGTTACAATTGGATGGAGGGGTCCTCGACAGGTTTTTCTTACCTTCACTAATAGCCAAGACTGCACTGATATTTTGTTAAAAAATCAAATTGCTTTCAATGGAGCTAACCCAATGAGACTTTTCAGATGAACCTTGGATTTCAACACAGAAACAGAAACTTCAATTGCTCTAGTTTGGATTCTATTGCATTGCTTTCCAATTCATTTCTTTGATATTACTGCACTTACTCTAGTATGCAAGCCATTGGGCAAAGTTTTGGGGGTTGATCAGGCTACTTTGAACAAATCTAGGCCCCATGTTGCAAGGGTCAGGGTGGAATTGGACTTAATGTAGCCTCTTATTTAAAAGGTCTTTATTGGAACTTCAATGACTCTTGGAAGGGAGGATGAGGGGTTTTATCAATCTATAGAATATGAAAGAATCCCTTTCTACTATTCCAAATGTCTTAAACAAGGTCACTCAGCTGATAAATGTAAATTGGGGGAAGAACAACATATTAGGGCAGAGAAGATCAGAAAAGGCAAACATATTATGCTGGAAACCACATTCAAGCCAGATACGAGTAAAGCACCCTCTGTCCAAATCCCACAAAACATGAAGTATGTCCATAAAGTCCAAAAAGTCAAAAATTCAGAGACAGCAGCAACTGGAAACCATTTTCCACATCCAACGCCAACACCTGGGCAGGATACTTCTTTTCAAGTTGTACAGAAAAAAACAACACCATCAGCAGAAAACTACTACCAAGACCTTGGGTCATAATGAATCACAGCAACCTAAACAATTTGCTCTAACTCCCACTATTGGTATTATTCCCAAAAAACCTCTCAAGTCAGCTCACACAATTAGCCCCTAAACCCCCTTTGGGCACACAGTCTAATTCATTTGGTATCCTAGAACATTTATCTGAAGATCAAACTGTTCTAAACCCCAAAGATCCTGAATTCCACCCTTCACAAATTGCCCTTGGTGTTTTGCAACAGGTGGAACTGCAAGCTGTTGATCAACATGGAGTACAATTTCATGTCCTACCTATACCCCACCCACCAGAACAATTGAAGAGTGGTGAAAACACCTCAGCAAATACTATTCCATCTAACAAAAGTGCTCTGTTGGAGGAACTTGACCCTGGTCCAAAAACTATAGAGGAAGATACTGAGGAGATGTGGTCTGATGAAGGTTACTTAAGTCCAATAGGCAAAGAAGATTCCTTTTCCTCTCCAATACTGGATGATAAAGCAAGAAAACTCTTAAATGATACTCCTCTTGACACTCATGTAGCAAATACTAGAAAGGGGACTTCAAAAGCTAAGCCACCAAAACCACCTAATGCTAAGAAGTCTGGCAAGGCCAGAACTTCTTCCCCTTCTCAAACTAATTGATGGATTCCACACTTGTGTGGAATGTAAGAGGGATTTTTACCAGAGGGTCCGTTGATAGATTACACCATCTAGTATCTAAATATCATCCTAATATTATTTGTCTCATTGAGCCTTTTAGGGGAGCAGATGCTGCTTGTTCAACTACTGGAAGACACCTTGGTTTTCCTCATCACATTGTTGGTTGTCAAGGGAAGATATGGATTTTCTGGAAGGACACATACCAGCTTAGTATCATTGCTAATGAAGAACAGGTAATCTATGTGGATGTTCTTCAACTTTCTAACCAACAACTTGTGAGTATGGCTTTTGTATATGCAAAAACTAAGAGCTGGTTGAGAAAGGAGCTATGGAAATCACTGATGCAATTTTCTCAGGCCCATACAAAAACTAAACCTTGGGCTGTTGTGGGGGACTTCAACTGTAGTCTTTATTCACATGAAAAGCTCGGTGGATTGCCCTTATCAGTAGCTGCCAGCTGGGACTTTCAACAATGTATTACAAACTGTGCCTTACTGGAAGTTTCTACCTATGGTAACTCCTTTACTTGGTGGAATGGTAGAAGAGGTACTCTTTCTATTTGGAAATGCTTGGACAAGCTGTTGGTGAATCAAGCATGGGCAGACAGTTATAAAACTACTTTTCAAGTACTATCTTTAACTACTTCTGATCACTCTCCCCTTCAAATCTCTGTTACTTGTAATACTCAAACTAAAAGCCCTAGACAGTTTTCTTTTCTCCATGCATGGACAACTCACCCTAATTTTATTCCTGTTGTTCAAAAACCCTGGTCTATGGAGAGCTTGTTGGGCTTTGTGGAGGCTTGTTTGTCGGCCCGGCCCAGTTATGCGTAGCCCTAGTTTTTCCCTTATATATAGAGGGCTTGTATTTGTAATCTTGACACCACAAGTGAAATAAGAAAATCCTCCTGTTGCAGCCGTGGATTAGGGAAACCGAACCACGTTAAATTCTTGTGTGTCGTTTGTGTTCCGTTTCTCTCGTTTCTCGCAGATTATTTGTGTGTGTTGTGTGTTTAATTCCCAACAGAGCTCTGGTCCACCCATGACCCAATTCTCTAACAAACTACTTGCTACCAGAAAAGCTTTGAACATTTGGAAACATTTTCACTAAACTTGAGGCTTTGGAGAAAAAAGTCCAGGAAGCTGAAGAAACTTATCAGACTGCACCTACTGATGAGAACTTGATGCATTTCAAATTTGTGGATGCTCAATATCTACACCAACTTCACTTGGAAGAACTGTTTTGGAAGCAAAAAGCTCATGTACAGTGGGTTGTGGATGGGGACAGAAATTCTAAATATTTTCATGCCTTAGTGAAAGCCAGAAGAAGGAAACTGTATATTCATAAAATCAAAGGCCCAGATGGTAATTGGATTGAAGATCATCAACAAATTTCTACTCAAGCTATTGAGTTCTTCCACCAACTGTTTTCTGAGGAACAAAGTGATAATGTATATTTGGTTTCCACTCCTACTATGGATGAAGTTAAACAAGCAGTTTTTTCTCTTAATCCTAACAGTGCTGCAGGTTCCGATGGTTTTACTGGTTTGTTTTATCAAAAATGCTGGGATATTATACACTTGGATGTGTACTCTATGGTTTGTGCTTTCTTTGCTGGTGACTATATGACTAAGAGCATTTCATATACAACCATTATACTATTGCCCAAGGTTTACAGCTCCAATACTTTTGCTGATTTTTGACCTATAAGTCTGTGCAACTTCAGTAGCAAGATTATTTCTAAAGTTCTAGCTTCAAGATTGGCTCGTGTTCTTCCTCATATCATCTCCCCTTCTCAATCTGCTTTCATCCAAGGGAGGTCTATAACTAAAAATATTTTGCTAACTCAAGAACTCTGTCATGGTATGCAACTACAACACAGGGATATTGTTTTGAAACTCAATATGGCTAAGGCTTATGACAGAGTTTCTTGGGCCTTTCTCAACAAAATCTAGAGACAAATGGGTTTTTGTGAACAATGGATTGACATGTTGTTCAGAATGGTCTCCAACATATGGTATACTGTTCTTGTCAATGGCCAAAGGGAAGGTTTCTTCACCTCCTCTAGGGGATTGAGGCAGGGTGATCCTTTATCTCCAGATCTATTTATTATAGCAGCTGAATTCCTCTCCAACCTTCTCACACGCATAAGTCATAGTAAAGGAATTATCCCATTTACTCAACCTAGAGGCATCCAAACTATTAGTCATCTAGCTTTTGCTGATGATATCATAATTTTCACCTCAGGAAGAAGGAACTCTATCCTCAAAATTATGGAGGATCTGCATCTCTATGAGCACATTTCGGACCAATTGGTGAGCACACAAAAAAGTTCCTTTTATATGCATCCTAGGAGTGCTACTGTCACCACTCAAAGAGTGGCTGATCTCATTTCAGTTAAACACCAAAATTTCCCATTCTATTATTTGGGATGTCCAATATATAAAGGCAGGCTAAAAGTGTGCTATTTTAACACACTATTGGAGAGAATATCACAAAAATGTGAGGGATGGCAGGGGAGATTATTATCCTATGGTGGTAAACAAGTCCTCATTAAGAGTGTGCTGCAAGCTCTTCCTTCCCATCTCTTCTCGGCTATTCAACCTCCCAAAACAATTTTGAGTAAAATGGAGCAAGGCTTTTCTAACTTCTTTTGGGGCCAATCTGCTAGGAAAAAGCACTACCATTGGAGCTCATGGGAGCATATGAGCTTTCCTGTTAAAGAAGGAGGTTTGGGCTTTACAAGAATGCAGACCATGGTGGATGCTTTCAGTGCCAAGTTGTGGTGGAATTTTAGAACCTCTGTCACCTTATGGACTCAATTCATGAAAGCCAAATATTGTCAAAGAGTTCACCCTGTTGCTAAGGTGTGGCAACCTGGTGAGTCCCACATATGGAAGAGGATGGTCTTCATTCGAAACCTTATTGAACCCTACATATTTTGGAAGATATATGATGGATCCTTGAGCTTCTGGTGGGATAACTGGATAGGTCTGGGAGCTTTAGCTCGTATTACCAACCAGGAGAATGGGAAATTTCTTCTTGCTCCTTTCAAAGAGTATGTGGTGAATAATACTTTGAATTTTGGTCGATTACAAAACCTCGTGGATCCAGGTTTCTTTTTCCACTTTAATGTGGATCTGTCAGGGTTGGGGACTAACAAACCTGATAAAGCCATTTGGAAGCCTAGGTCTAATGGCCTCTTTACACTCAAGGCTGCTAAACATTTCCTGGGGTGCAATGGTCAGACTTCTGTACAACTTCAAAAATGTTGGAATACTCATATTCCTTTCAAGATGTCCTTTTTGTGTTAGAGATTTTTTCTCAGGAAATTACCTCTGGACTCCATTCTATTAAAGTTTGGTTATAATTGTTGGGATTTTAAGCGCGTAAGATACCGAAAAATATTGAGAACACCAGAAAAATGAGAGAAAAAACACAAGAAAAATATATGAGAGAAAAAATTATATTTCCACTATTTCAGGACAATATACAAAAAACTCTCCCATGTTTACAAGACTAAATTTCAGACACTCATAAATAGATCTTTCTACATCCTATGCCCGGATGTATTTTTCCGAGTAACTAAAACCAGTTACTCCCTACACTCACCCACACTCACCAAGACCACTTGGATTTTCCCGGTGATATTCTTGTGTAGAACCCTCTTCATCTTCTCTCTCTACCTTGGTGTGTAAACCACACACACATAGCCTTGTTCTTCCACAACTATTAAATAGCCAAGAACTCTTTGTGAACAAAGGAAAGAAAACAAGAGCAATAATTCAAGCCAATAGTGGATACCATGTACGTGCCAAATCCCATGTCCCCATGCACCACTAAATATCCCATCATGTTTAAATTCATTGGAGGAGACCCTTATTTTTTTTCTTTTCAATTATTTAATCAAATCCTAACAAACTCCACCTTGATTAAATAATTAAAAAAAAATTGTAGCTCCATCTTACTTCTCCTGTGAGATCACCGCTACTGTGAAAAAAAACTATCTTTGGCGCCATCTCGATCTGCTCCACCGAGATTGTAACACCCTAATCCGTCCAGGTTTACAACCCCTTCCGAACTAAAGTATTAACTTGGTAATCGTATAATTTAAAACATTTCAAATAACTTTATTCATCATAAATGAAATTCCAAACATAATTGTAGTAAATACGGAGTGTTTAATGCGGAAGCAATTTTTAAACATGATTTATAATAACATAATCATTTATTTTCTCAATAAATCCACCACGACTGTCTCGCCCCTTCCGCTGCCAAGAACATGCCATTCACTCATTCTGTCTACCTGCGTGTAGCAAATAAAACATACTACACGCTCAACGATGAAGCTGAGTAAGCATATCTAAAGCGTCGAACATCCAAATAAATTGAATCTCAATTCATAATCAACCATTTGATATCATGCACACAATATATGATTCAAACATTCATGATATTCTCAATATTTTATTCCAAGTCATTTGATATTCAATATCTCAACCATGCTCTTAAATTATTCTTAATCTAAGGCCAAATCATTTTATAACAAGCTCTTAGCTATTCCTAGTCTAAGGCAACATTTCTAACCAGGCCCTTAAACTATAAATAGTTTAATGCAGAACACAAGAATCGATAATCCACCCTATGGGTCATATGGATTACGTACCAACCGAACAATTATTTGTCGGGTGGGTGATATCCGGTCTGGATCCCGTACGTACGTTTTAACCCCGAAATATGAACTGGTCAAGGAGGTATATCTTAGAGTTCTTCTAGATATCCTTAATAATCATCATCATTATACAAGTGGGTATATCTTTAGAGTTCTTCTAGATATCCTTAACAACATTATTCATCAATTCATATTCTTAGTTCAACAATCATTTAATAATCCATAATATTCATCAAATGAACATTCTAATAACAATCAGCGGCCTAGCATCGAGTGTTAACACCCTAGCTTACCGTCATGCATCACATAAGATCCCTTTTAGTTGTTAAAACACCATCTTTATTCCAAGAAATCATCCTTTTATTAATCATAATGGTTTGGTATCAAAATATAGGATTCCATAACTCAAAAATCATGTTTTCTAAATAAAAATTGATTAATATATGATAGGAAATTCAATTATTAGCTATTAGCTTCATTTTCTTCAATAGTGTAGGGAGACAATCTACTGTTACTTCTGATAATCTACTGTCTGATGTTCAGAATGGGCTGATAATCGATTAACACACTCTGATAATCGATTATCAAACTTCAGAGAGGCCTGACAGTCGATTATCACATTCTGATAATCGACTGTTGCTCAGCTTTGTTACAAAAATCTGCAGAACGATGAATAATCGATTTTCAAGTTGATAATCGATTATCCATCGTCTTCTACCTCGAGCCAACTTGCGGAAATGTCACTTTTACTCACCAAACTTTAATTAAAGTATATAAAAATGTTCTCCAAGGTTCATGGATCATTTTAGCATCATTAATTCATAATTTTTAACATCAATTTCATGGTTTATGATTCTTAGTTCTTCAAGCATGTCAAACACAAAACTCAACCAAATGACCATTTATGAACGTAGAAACGACCTATATGAATATTCTAGTCATTAGATATATCTAGGGGCTTACTTCGAAGCTTAATGGAGGTTTTGGAAATTTTCCGGCGAAACTTCCGGCGAGTATTTCTCCCAACTCCAGCGACTTCACACCAAATTGACAGCACCACAACACTCCTCACACTTTCATGAACATTTAGGAAGAAAAATGAAGAAGAATGGTGAAGAAATGAGAAGGTTGGGTTTTCTTATATAATGAGAAGGAGAGAAGAAGAAGAAGAAGAAGAAGGTGACTCTGCGATCGGCGTAGTGGGGAAGGAGGCGCCGTCTAAACAGTTCCCTGATTGGGACCTATTTTGGTTCCAGTCGGGGTACACTTTTTGGTCCAACTTTCTCCAAACTGAAATCCGTTTGCACCGTTGCGATCAGACAGTCGAGCTCTATCCAACAATATACTTTTCATAATTATTTGTAATACTTTTTCCGACATCATATTTTTAGGTGTTTGACTTTAACAGAGTCAAAATTGGTTTAATTGATAAAAGGTTCTCTCATTTAATTCATATCAATTATTCTCATGATTTATTTCAATAAATCATTACAAAGTTCACATCATAATTAATTAATTTATTTATTCTTGATTTGGGTCTGTACTCAGGTTCCCAATCAAGACCACACAAATAGTCCACATATTGCATTTATCTTGATTAGACTTATCCAGATTTTGATATTGGATATTAAAAAATATTTCATATCGGCCCAAAGCCCAATAATAATCAAAACAAATTTGTTTAATCGAATAATTATTTAATAATAATTCTAGGGTATGTTTCGGGGCGTTACAGAGATCACTGCTGCTAACCTAAAAAAATCCTCGTGGCTCCACCTTGGTCCAACCACCAAGATCACTACCACTTTGAAAATTTTTTATGACCTTATTTTGCTCAATATCGCAAGCTCTCCGCCACCATGTGTTGACTCATGGTCTTGGCCTCACCTTGCTCAATAAGACAAGGTCCTCACCATTTCCAGTTATCGTCGTACCCGTGGCTCCATCTCAACCAACCCGTCAAGATCACCGCCACTACCTTAGCTCCTTAGAGTTTTAACCCTCCACCCCGAGCTAAAAAAATGACAACTCACCTTTGTTAACACTCTCTAAGACCACCCATCTAGCAATTAGCTTCTTTCGATCTGCCAATCTTGCACCGCCGCAGCAACACCTGCAGGACACGCCGCCCGACCTCTTCTTGCCGAGAAGACTTTCGACACAAGACATAAACCGCAGTTTTCCACTCCGCTAGACCACCGATCTCCTCAAGTCCTATTCCCGCACCATACTTCACAAAGCCAGCATGCCGCTTCGTACCCGGTCCTTATGCCATCCACTTTGTTCTTGAAGTCCCATGGTCGCCTTCTGGCCAAAACCGACCAGTCCCCGGGTTCTCAAAATTTCTCCTTTTACCGCTTACAAATCCCTCCTGCCCAGCGTAACCGGATTTTTAGCCTCCCTCTCCTGAAACTATTGAGCATGTTTTTTCACAAAGCAATATAGCTCAATATGTATGGCAATATTTCTATGATATATTTGGAATGAATAACATGGCAGCCTCTGTTACTCAACATTTAGACACTTGGTGGGGCCCAAAAATACCCTCTAAGAGACCTACGGTCAGGGCTTATTTGCAGCACTGTATTCCAGTGCTTATACTTTGGGAACTATGGGTTCACTATGCAGCATTAAAGTATGTGGAGGGACAAATTAATGTGGCTCGTGTTTTTTTCAAAGTGAGGAAAGGGTGCAACAGAGATGGTTTGTAGGAAATGGCCCTCACTTTTCACTTCCTTTACTGACTAGAAAGTTATTTTTCAACTTAAAGGTGTTTTACCCAAACATTTCCATTTTAAAAAAGTCTCTTGGGACCCACCACCCGTGCACACTATCAAACTTAATGTGGCATATTTGCAATCAAACCATAGAAGTGGGGCAACAGCTGTGATTAGGGATTCTACAGGGACTTTTCTATTTGCACAAAGCATCAGGGGCATGTTCACTAAAATGGAGGCAGCACCTGAGATATTAATTGCTATTATTCCTTGGTGTTTAAATGCTGGTTTACACAGAATTCAATTTGAGGCAGACTTTGAGGAACTGGTAGAGCTTCTTAACCTTGATGTTCCTCTAATTGCTATGAACAACTTTAGCAGGTTGGCTTTTTTATTATCTTGTTGTACTTATACAGCACATATCTGTGAGCATGAGGCTAATAGGGTCACAAACTATTTAGTTAAGTGGTGTAATGATCAACTCCATCCAAGTTGGGAGTTCTGTGATATTTTTAATTTACCTGCCTACTGTCAAGTGCTATGCCAACATGATATTCAACGCATTCCTAGCTTTGTTGCTTCTACTTCGACTTGATTATGCAGTCCTATCTTTCTAGGGATATAGAGAACTTGGATATTGGGTGCGCTCAATTTCCTTTTCTTATCTACTCGGGGATAGTGTTTGCTTTCTGTTAGGAGGTTTTTAAACCATTACTGGTTCTACTAGGGCTAAGGAGAAGTTGGATATTATAGGTGCGCTTATAATATCTTTTCCTAGTCTTGGTATGTATGGTTTGTGAAGTGAGGAGTGGTTGACTCGGATGGGTTTGTATTCCTCCCTTTGGAGATGATTACCACTCCTCTTGTGTTGCCATTCTTCTATCTCATGGCCTTTTAATGACACATTACCTGTAATACCCCGTATTAAGATGGGAATGGGAAGAGTTCAAAAGGATTGATAGTACTACTCATACCAACAAGGTGCATCTTCTTTTCGAGAGCTCATCACCTAGAAACTCCAAAGTTAAGCGTGCTTGACATGGAGCAATTTTAGGATGGGTGACCCCCCTGGGAAATTCCTTGGGCGCGCACGAGTGAGGACAAAGTGCGCAGGAAAGACGTGTGTTGGTTTGTGGGGCCAGTCTACAATCCTACGAGCGGACACTTACGGCCAGGGTGGGGGTCGGGGTGTTACATTACCATGGTGCACTTCTTATCTTGTGACTTCGGTAATGCTTTGGTTTTGGTTGTTTGTTTGTTTGTTTTGACCGTATGTGGCATTGGTCATGCCGTAGTTTTGGTTTCGTATGTTTAGACCTTATTGTGGCTTTGGTCAAGCCCTAGATTAGTATGTTGGTAGTTAGGACCTTCTTGTGGCTTTGATGAAGCCTTGTTCTAGGCTTCCCCATCCTTTTTTTACTTATTGTACTCCCCGGAAGGCATGTCTTCCGTATGAGGGGCTGGCGTTAGGCCTTGGTTTGGTCCTCCCCTCACTTTGTGGTGATGAATATATCTTAATAAAACTCGGTAAGGGTTGCCTAGACCTTACCCCACCAAGCTTGGTGGTTTGCCCACTAGGAGTTAAAAAAAATTGGTTTCTTCCATACATTTTTAGGAAGTCAATTTGTTATCCATTCCTTATTATAGGGAGTCATTTTTAAATTCCTTATTTTAAATTCATCGAAACAACATCGAATAGTTCTACATTATTCGATTGGTTTCGAATATTCATTGACAATGCCATGCATCTATCTTGTGATATTATATGTTGTTTATGTTGAATTTTTTTTAAATGTTGAACTTTTGATGGTTGCAGATGGGTACGGATCCTGTGATATTATGTGTTGTTTATGGTGAAAAGTGGACCACAAATCACCAAGGGGATTATGTTTACAGTGGATCCGGCAAGAAAATATCTTCATTGTTTTGGGATGTTGCTAATTTGGACTTTGATGCCTTTTTGAAAGCCATTATTCAAAAGCTTGGTTGCGATATGAAAACTCAAAGGCCAGAAATTACATTTAAAATTCAACAACTTGGAAAAAATATACCACCCTTTTCCATTGATTCAAGTGAAATACTCCATGTATTTCTTTTTGAATTAAAGTAAAACTTTACAGCCTTGCATGTTGAGATGGTTCCAGTTGAACGTGAAGAAAAAGAAGAAGAAGAGCAAATACAAGAAGTCCAAGAAGAACTTTTGGGATTGCAATCAGCAATTGACCCCTTCATTCCCCTGATTAATGACATCCATGATGACTTCTTCAATTCTATGATTGTTGCTGATCAAGAATCTGGGCGCGATCATGAAGGTATTGCATTTCAGAAAAATGCAGGGAGGTGTGATCAAGATCCACAATTTGTTGAGTCTAATGCCACTCCTGGAACAACAAACATGGGTAATGAAACAACTGCGAAGAGCCCAACAACTACTCAAACTGTGGATGAAGAGGATTATATGGGTGAAGGTATTGTATTTCAGAAAAATGCAGGGAGGTGTGATCAAGATCCACAATTTGTTGAGTCTAATGCCACTCCTGGAACAACAAACATGGGTAATGAAACAACTGCGAAGAGCCCAACAACTACTCAAACTGTGGATGAAGAGGATTATATGGGTGATGATAATGATGAGTTAAATGTGGACAAGTCCTTCATTCGGAGGGATTATCCTTCTTTTGATACGTCTTTTGGTAATGAGGTAGACATGACATTGGATGGTAGCTTTGAAGATGGATCGGATTTGGCCATCAGACTTGAGTTTTCTGACAAAAGAGAGTTGAAGAAGAAGATGACTGATGTTTCCATACAAGGACATTTTGAAACAAAGACTGTGAAGAGCGACACGAAGAGGTATGTGTTGAAATGCAAGAGTGAAAAATGCTCTTGGATGATGATGGCCTCCATCGTAAAAAAACACCTCCCGATTCGCTATTAAAAATACAACGGGGAACATATGCGTTCAATTGGTGACCGTAGCTGATCACATAGCCAAACAACTTTGAGATATGTGTTAGAATTAATTTTAGAAAGTTTTGATTGTACAGATGATTTAATTAGGCCTAAAAACATCATGACATTCGTGAAAAACAAGAGCATGCCAATCACATATGCAAAGGCTTGGTGGAGTAGGAAGTTCGCTAATGAAGCCATGTTTGGGATGCCCGAGACTAGTTAAAAAAGCTTCCATTATACTCGCACACGTTGAAAAAAGCGAATAATGATCTTGTAAAAACCCACCTAGAACTTGAGGAGGGGGTGCTTTCAAGTATGTATTCATACTATTTGATGCATGTATTTCTGGATCTTAAGACATCCTATAAAGGTGTTTTACTCATTGCAACGACTTAAGATGGTGACTTCCACGAATATCCCCTTGCCTGGGCTATTGTGGACTGTGAAAACAAAGACTCAGACTCTTGGTTGTTTTGGTCATTTAAGCAAGTTAATTCCTAATTCCAGAGACTTGGTGTTCATTTTGGACAAACACATTAACATTCGAAATGAGATAAGAAAGCACTATTCGGCAGCCGATCATGGAGTGTGTAGGCATCACATCACTTATAATTTGAGGAAGCATTTTCCAAAGATGTGCAAACAGGGGATGGATAAACCTTTTGAGGACCTTGCAAGTGCATACACCAAACGGGCATTCAAGATGTTGTATGGCGAGTTGAAAGCAAGGTACCCAACTGCGGGCAATTACATATACCAAATTGCAAAGAAAAAATGGGCCATGGTGTATTTTGAAATACCTCGGTACCAAATCATGACGACAAAGGACACCGAATCAATCAATAGCGTGTTGAGGGATGACATGGAACTTCCTATTGTTGCACTTTTAAAAGCAGTCCAGAATATGACTTCAAGGTGGCATAGAAAAAGGCAAAAAGAGTTAATATCTCTCAATGAGTCCGATCCCCTAGTTACCCCAGCTGTTGAAACTCAATTGCGTAAGAGATTCAACATTGTCTTACGCTTGGAGTGTCATCATTTGAATCAATACGTGTTTGAAGTCAAGGGAGTGCACTCTGACCATGTCGTTGACCTCTTAAATAAAACTTGCACCTGCCTTGTGTTTGACAAGGAAAAGATACCTTGCGTGCATGCATTCACTTGTTCAGAACGCACAAGCATAGATTGTTATAGCATGTCTAGTCTATTCTAAACAAAGGAATACATATATATCGCATACGCTGAAACAATCTACCTCGTGCCACATGAAGACGACTGGGATACCGATGGAATGGAGCTCATACAAGTCAAACCCCCTATATTGTACAAGAAAAGAGGAAGGCCAACAACGAAGAGATTTCCATCTGACGGTGAGGCACAAAAAGAATATCAGTTGACATGTTTTGGTTGCCAAGGAAAAGGGCATACAGTACGGACATACGCAAAGAGACCTCGTAAAGACACATCTACGACGAATGATATGAATAATACTAAATGCATTTAGGTGTATTCAAATAATAAAGTGTCTATTTGGTCCAATTAAAATAAAGTTATATTCGGTCCACTAAAAGCAATGAGTGAGTTAGTTGTCGAAAATAATTAGGGGTGAGCAAGTACCGAACCGATACCGAAATTTCCCGAAAAAACCGAGAATACCGAACCGAAAAATACCGAACCAAAAAAATACCGAGAAGGAACCGAACCGTACCGAACCGAATGGTTGGTACGGTATTCGGGAACGGTACGAGGTGATGTCCCATACCGAAAATCCCGTACCGAACATATATACTAAAATATTATAAAAAAATAATACCCAGGAGTAATATTTTTATATTCCTTCACTAAATAATAATTTTTTTAAAAAAAATTGGTTCAAGTTCTATGATGTGTAAATTATACTTTTATTTGAGTTTTAATTTTTGTGTATGAACATAAAAGTATTCACAAAGATTCGAAATACACCTTTGTTGTCGTTCATTTTTTTAGTTTGTGAAATATAAACAAAGTTTTAATACGCATCTCTTGTGTTTAAATATCATTTTTTTAATCTTTCAAGTTTTTTTATTTAAATACACTTTTAATTTTCAAAAATAAAGGGGTATTGTTAAATTTTAACGTGTAAAGTAGGTATGTATATTTATACCGATTTGTACCGAAACCGATACCGAACCATCCCGAACCATACCAAATCGATATTTTGGGATCGGGATCGGTACGGAGTAAAATCCCATACTGAACCGAAATATTTGGTACGGTATCGGTACGAGCTAAATACCGTACCATAACGTACTATGCTCACCCCTAAAAATAATTCAGAAGAGAGGTCGAAAAGCTTACTATGTGGTCGAAACATATTCTAGTCAATAGGTCGAAATGCTTAGAGTGTTTGTCGAATGTCAAGAATATCGAATTAGGATAATTCTAATGTAGTCAAAGTTAAGCGAACAGAGTAGATATGCACATATATAATGGTTTGACTGCATTAAGAAGTATTTGAATGCATTGAGGTAGGTAGATGAGTGAGTAGGTGGGGAAGTGCATATATGGTTTGAATGCATTTAGGACGATGGCCCACATGCATTTAATATTACTCTAGCGGTTACGCATATGTATATATCAAAATTTCATTTTTAGTAGTGTAATTGCTTATCTATATTGAGAAAAATTCCTCTAAAAATGTCAAAAACTTTTGTCATACATCTGGAGGAAGATGATGATGACCCACACGATGAATTGGTAAGTTATTTTTCCTAGTGCAATTATTTACTTTTTTATTCTTAATCACTTTAGAGAATTCCAATACAACCAGCGTGTTCCAGATTCAGCTGCGAGGTATTTGTGCGACCTGGACGAATTGGTAGTATACTTGGCCCAGAAAAAACTAAGTTCATTGTTAAACTAGCATGCCGCCAGGAGGGAACGTTTATGGTGAAATGTGTTTGGCATGAGCTAGCAATTTTTTATCAACTATGTCCCGAGTTGCTCCTGCATTTCAAATATTACTGGGAAAACATATTTTTCCTTACTACATATTGGGATGGTGTGGAGTGTCCACCATTTAATGAGGAGACGGACTAAGAAACCTTTGTAGTTTTGCATTTAACATGTAACGTCCCAAAAATAGGCCTATCAGAGTTAATTAATTTATAATTAATTACTGAGAAGGACCCAAAAATAAGTAAATTCTAAAGTTTGTCAATAAATAATGAAAATTATATCAATGTGTAGAGTTTGACTGTCTGATCCCAACGGTTCAATCGGATTTCAATTTGAAGAAAGTTGGAACAAAAAGTGTACCCTAACTGGGACCAAATATTAGTCCCAATCAGGGACTACACACCAAACGGCGCCCTGTTCAATTACGTCGATTCCAAATTGCCGCACAATCACGGAAGCAACCAAGCCTGTGTCTTCTTCTTCTCCACTGGCCTATTTAAGCACAACTCAACTCCCTCAATTCCTCACCAAAAACATTCATTCTTCCTCCTATATTGTTCCTTGCTGAGAGTAGAGTGCAGTGGTGTTGTCATCTTTGTGTGAGGTCGCCGGAGCAGTGAGATAGAGTCGCCGGATGTTTCGCCGGAAAATTCTCAAAACCTCCATTAATCTTCGAGGTAAGCCCGTAGATATATCTAAAGATTAGAATGTTCATATAGGTTGTTTTTACGTTCATAAATGGTCATTTGGTTGAGTTTTGTGTTTGACATGTTTGAAGAACCAAGAATCATAAACCTTGAATTTGATGTTAAAAATATGTTTTAATGGTTTTAAAATGATCTATGAACCTTGGAGAACATTTCTATATAGTTTAATTGAAGTTTAGTAACTAAAATTGATATGTCCGAAAATGGACCGAAGGTAGAAGACGATGAACAGTGATCGAAAATCGATTATTTTCT